TTCCTTAATCAAATTCGACGTTTCTATGAAAACGTCGTAGTATTTATTTTTTATATTAAATACGATGTCTTTATAAACATCGTAATATTTATTTTTTTATATTTAATGTTATGTTTTTAACAAAAATAATGCAATCGACATGTAATATTAAGATTTTATTAAATAATTTAATTTTTTAAAATTACATATAAAAATATAACATTTTCATACTATATAAAATCATCTATCGCAAAAATTTTATTTTTTTAATTATTATATACATGTGAGTGAAAAAATTAAATAAAATATTAAAAGTTTAATTTATGTTTTTTTAATGAAAAGGTTAAGGTTAAGAGGGGATTGGTTGGGACTTTGGGGTTTGGTCTGTGGGTTAGGGGTCAAGACTCTAGGGAAGACGGATTAGGGAATTGTCGGAGATGCTAAGGGGAGGGGAGGCAGAGGAAAAGTGGGCCCACTTTCTGGGATTAGTGTAAGCTAAACAGGAGACATGTCGTGGGACCTACTCCCCATGATAGCAGCGCAGCAGACTGCTCACCACTGATCATCATCGATCTCTGGTTCTCTCTCCATCGCTATACTCCTGTTTTCTTTCTTTATTTATTTAATTTCTTTTTTCGCCAATCCTGCATTATTTCGTTCACATCAGTTGTACGTTATATTCGCGCGTACGAACATCCGTCAGTCAAAGGCTGACTTTTTTGATAACATTGCAAACAAGAAGAATATATCACCTACTAATTTATATCATATTTATAAAATATTAATACATTAATATCACTACCAGATACAAGTCCCTTTTACCGACGTTGATGTTTCACCTGTTTCCACTTTATTTCGTCACTGTTACTACTCTTTTGTCACTGTTTGCCTACTGTCGTGTTTTAACGATTATCACCTTGTTCTTAAGATATTTTTGAAGGAAATGCTTTTTTTTTCTCTTTGCTTCAAATTTGAAAAGAAAAACGAAAAGAACAGTGGGTTCAACAAAGATGAAACAGTTCGTTTTGGGACCAGGTCATTAGTTACAATGGTTTCTTCCTCTCTCCGATTGCATGTCCACATACTTCTAACCATTTGAGTGGGGAAGGGCCACATGGGGGATGTTACACGACTAATGCAACGGCTAAGAGCTTCATATTTTCGTCGCATTTGACAAGTTCAATGCTTGTAACAAACGCATTCGTCACCAAAAGTAAAAATAATAATAATAATGATAAAAGCAATTCTTCAAGTTTTCGTCACATTTGACAAGTTCAATATTTCACATTCCAACAAAATTTTTTTTTTTTGTTTTGATTTGTTAACTTCACATTACGTGGCAATATTAGTGGAAACATAAACTTTTTAGGTTAATCAAAACAAAAGGTGGCAATATTACAAATTTTAAGTTATAATACTTTTTAGAATAGTATAAGTTAATTTAATGTAGCATATATAAGTGTGACTAAGTTGGATTACCATTGTGGGAAATTGATAAAAAAAAAATTTTTGAATTATCATTTTTGACAAAGAAATTTGTAAATTTTTAATAAAAAATAAAATTTAAATTTATTAAATGTTAATATAAATTAATTGAAATAAATTATAAATTCAAAATATTTCCTTTTTTGCATAATATTTTCTATTGGTTGAAAATAAAAATTATTAATAGTAAAACACATACATAAATGATTATGGATATAATAATAGTACATGGATTTCCATTTATGATCCACTTCATCTTTTGTATGTTTACCCCAAAATGGAACCACTAATTTTCTAAAGACGAAAGCTTATTTGGTTTGAAAAAGAAATTAAGCATATTTTCTTCACTTCTATTTTACCTTATCCAGATATCATCATTCCTTAATTGATCGAAAGTTGGATTTTTTCAAAGCATTGGCATGCTCGTACTTATAAATTCCAAAATATGTCACATGTCAAGCTATCGTGTTAGTTTACTAACCCATATAGCTAAGATAGCTCTATGAATATCTTTTACTTTTTATTTAGTAAAATATTATTAGTATATTATTTTTTTAAAGTGTTCATTAGTTCAGTTTAGTTAATTTTGAATAAAATTAATAAAATTATTTTATTTTATTTTTGTTAATCGAATCAAATTTATTAATTTTAAAAATTAATTGATTGAATTAAAATCAATCAGTTCGATTAATTTTTTCAATTAATCAAATAATTAATATATTTAAATTATATTATATTTGAACTATTAATTTCTTATATTTTAAATAAATAAAATAAAATAATTCAACAAAATATTCAAATATCAATGTATTGTATTAAAAACTTTAATAATTTATGAAATAAAATGATACATTCATGATTTTTTTAATTTTATATTTAAATTTTATTATATTTTGATTAATTCGATTTTTGAATCAAATTAATCAAAATAAAAAATTTTTAAAATCATTTTCATTAACTAATCAAAATTAATTCGATAATCAATCAATTAATTAATTAAATTAATTCAACTAAAATAAATTTATGAACATCCTTAATTTTTCCTAATAAATCAAAATGTTTTAACTTGAATCCATATTCATAGTGACCATCACATTTATTTTTTTGTCGAAACAGTGACTCTTACGTTTAAGTAACTATTTAGATTTCATCGTATTTTTGATGTGATGTGATTAAATTTATTATATTATTAGTTAAATTAAATACTAATTATAATAAAATTTATTTAAGATAAAATTTTTATTAAAAATTTTTCTCAATTATAATTACAATAAATATTTTTAATTATATTATAATAATAATAATAATTTTTTTAATCTCATCATCCGTTAGGAATAAATTTTAAATCTCAAAATATGGGAGATAGCTAACTTGTTATTCATGCTCTAGAGCAAGGCTCAAACCATGTGCCATCTTCTTTGGCTATTGCAAATTCACAAAACCACACCGAAGGTACAGTCCTTGCCCCGTAAATTCATGTCCAACGAAAACTTTAATTGAATGAAAATAAAATTCTAATAATTTAATAGAATATAAATAAATCTTTAAACATCCTATTAATTGTAATAAAATAATAAATTTAAAATGATTATTTAATTGAATGAAAATAAAAATTTAATAATTTAATTGAATATAAATAAATTATTGTAATATTACATAATTTAATTTAAAAGACTTTTATATATATTACATTATTATTTAAATTTAATAAAATTTATGTATTAAATGTAGTTTTTTAAAAGAATATTTTACAAACCGTTAATAATTAGTATATTTTTTTAATTTCCGGACAAAGATTCCTCCTTTTGTTGCTTTAGACCACACACAGCGGGTGATAGACAATACACGTGGGTCCCACTGACTTACTTCTTTCCACTGTCACTTTGCGCTTACACGTAAGTTGCCGTTCAATTTCTCGCCATATTCTTCTCCTTCCTTCCACTTTTGTCCTACTTAAACTTTCAAACTTCTCATGAGAACTGTACATTAATTTTCCTTCGACCTTTTTTAATTTTTAAATAGATTATTATTATTATTATTATTATTTGATAATATAATTTTTAAACACCATAAATGAAATCAAGAGATTACATTTTCTTATATTGTTTGTTATTATTTTTTAAAATACGTTATAAAAAAATATATATTTTACCCAATTAATTTTTGGAGATATTTAAACTTTTTTTTCGCCTTAGATGAAAATCGTATATGATAATTATTATATTTTATATAAGGATAAAATTTGAAATTCTTTGAATTTAAATTTAAATTTTATAATAAATCATAATTTTTTAGTTACTTAATTAAAAGATTGTTCATCGCATTGTAATAATAATAATTATTTTAAACAATAAAATTATGATTTAAAATTATTATATTTATTTATTCATTTAATAAAATTAATTTTACATTCTATTGTCATATTATCATTAAAAATGATCGACACTCAAACTCTTATGATAATGTAGGCTCACCATTCTTTATTTATGAATAAAATATTTAGTTAATAAGATTAATTTTCATGTTTCCTTAGTTAATATTCATTCGACTATCACATTATTATTAAAAATGATTAATATTCAAACTTTTTGTCATAGTACAAGCTTATCCTTACTTTTTTTTTTTTTATGAAAATAACTCATTCAACTATCACCATTAACATTTCATTAATACATCACCTTATAATTGGTCAATTTATCTTTCATTTATTTTAAATCATTAAATATAATTTATATTGATTGAAATTATTAAATATAACTTATATTTATTTACGTAATTTTTTCTTAAGTTTTACATATACTTAGCATAAATTTTTATTAGTTTTAATTACATTATCTCATATATAAAATAAAAAAATTAGGATATAATTTCAAACCCTTTTCTTCAAGTTTATTGAATATTCTATATCTTATATTCTTCTTCTACCAACATTAACTTTAGACATTTGACTAATTTAAACTCAAGGTATAATCCGAAGAACCAATTTCAATACCCCATAATCGTAATTTACATATGTAAATAAATACAATTTGAAAAAAAATGTAAAAGCGAAAGAAAAAAGGTAGGTAATGCACTAACGATTCTGGCAAAAAAAAAAAAAAACTAACGATCCGCGACGAGAATTAAAACGAGATATACAACACGATATACTACTATATTTAATTGAGGGAGATAATTTAGGTTGTAGCACCATGCCACCCCAGGTGCGCACGGCAAGGATAAGCGTAGCGGGCACAGTGGAAAAAATATTAAATAAAGATAGCAACACTTGCTAACGTGCACCAGAAGTTGTGTTAACTACGCACCCCCTTAGCTTTCGCGTATCCCTTTCTCCTTATCCCTTCACATCCATCCAAGCTTGCCCGTTAATAGCACGACAAAGCCACTTCCCCACTAACGTCAGGACAAACGGCGTTACATGCCAACCCAATGAATCGTCGACACCAATGTAATCGTCGTTAGAACCCCATCCATTCCGGGAAGGGGAAACCGCCTTATTAATTGTAGCCCAGTAATTTTTTAATTTTATTTTTAAATTTATAATAATTTGCCCCTGCCTGGTCCCCTTTGACTCCTACCACCCCTGATAAGTCCACCGGGTGTAGCCGGTAAGTCAGACAGGTTAATGCCGGTTGTTTCAGTGGGTTAGAAATTGACCGCGGTTGAAATGATTGCCATTGTTGCCTCCACTGTTTTGACTCACCTCGGTTAGGTCTCTCGTCCCCTCATCAGACACAGACGAGAAAAAAGAAAGAGAAAAAGGAGAAAGCCAGAGAAAGATAAGAGAGAAAGAGAAAAAAGAGAGTCTATTTTTTTCATTGAATTTTTCCTATTCTGTTTTTGGTGTGTACGAGCTCTGATTTTTCAGCTGCTGCAACTGATCAGAGGCTGAGGTGTTGTTTACAGAAGGGAGGGGAAGAGTGAAAGCGACTATAGATACAAAGTGGAAGGAAAGAGAGAAAGGTAGAAGAATTGATTGATAGGTTCGTAAATCAAGAAGTTTGGTGCTGAATTGAGAGAAATATAGGCTGAGAAATATAGGCTTTCTTTATGAGGTATTGGAAATTTACTTCGTCGATTTGATCATAGTCTCAGAGAAAGAGAAAAAAGTTGGTTGTTTTAGGTGAAAGAAGAGAGCTAGGGCTTTTATAACAGTGGTGATGGTAGATTGAATGGAATTTGAGAGTATCTGATGAGAGATCTGAGCCCAAAGATTTTTTAAGAAATGACAACTTCGGAGCCAAATGATGCTAGGAACACCATGGAACGGCAAAATGGTAATTCAACTCGACCGGCTGTCGTTAGAGGTAGAATCCCTTCCTCGTTCAATTCGCTTCCGTTTCTTGCTTTCTCTTCTCCTTTTTTGTCGATCTTGGGTTCTCAATTTTTGGTGCTTTTTTTTTTTCTTGATTGTTCGCCGTTTTATGTTTACTTTGTTTCGTTTTGTGTGTGGGAAATAGACCCTGAAACGGCGCTGTATACGGAGCTATGGCATGCATGTGCTGGACCTCTAGTGACCGTCCCTCGCGAAGGAGAGCGCGTGTTTTACTTTGCTCAAGGTCACATAGAACAGGTTTCCCTTCTTCCCTCTTTTCTCTTTCATTTTTCTTCTTCCTTTTGTTTTATTTCTGTTTCATGTTGGAGAATGAATTTGATTTGAAGTTTGTTTTTAATTTCGCTTCCTTTTTCCTGTTTTATTTTTATTTTTGTTTTTCTATTTCTATTTCGGGGTTTGTTTTTAATGTTTAATTTGCTTATTAACCATGAGTTTCTGGTTAATCAGGTTGAGGCGTCTACTAATCAGGTAGCAGACCAGCAGATGCCAGTGTATGATCTTCCATCAAAGATCCTTTGTCGTGTGATTAACGTTCAATTAAAGGTGCCTTGCAACTATTTTACTGTGATTTGTATGGTTTTTCTCTTCTTCCGGTGTTTTGTTTTGCTAATGCAACGAATAACCTTTTGCTGTTAATTCTATAGGCTGAGCCGGATACCGATGAGGTTTTTGCGCAAGTGACTTTACTGCCTGAACCTATTGTAAGCTTTGGTCTCTTTTTTTTTTTTTTTTGGTTACTTTACATTAGGAGAAGATTGAAGTTGAATTTCTGATGGTTTGTTCTTTTGCCCTATCAATTTTTTCAGCAAGATGAGAACACCGTGAACAAGGAGCCTCCCATTCCTCAACCACCACAGTTCAATGTACATTCCTTTTGCAAGACCCTGACTGCCTCAGATACAAGCACCCATGGTGGGTTTTCAGTGCTCAGGCGGCATGCAGATGAATGTCTCCCACCATTGGTTTGTGTCTATCTGCTATGGATTTGTACCTTTTTTCTGTCCTTTTTGATAATTAGGTTGTGATTCATTTGATCTTGTTGGTTAACAGGACATGTCGCGTCAACCTCCAACCCAGGAGTTGGCTGCTAAGGATTTGCATGGAAATGAGTGGCGATTCCGGCATATCTTCAGGGGTAATGCTTTTAAACCTCATTGGTTTTGTGCTTATACATCATAATGGAATTCAAGGAGTTTGGTAATGAAATGTTCATACAAGTTCGGGTTAATGTACTCTTTTACTTGGTTCTGTTCTGATTAATCAGCTAAAGCTGTTTTGTTTACAATTTGATTCAAATGTTGAGGGGAATACCAGGTCAACCACGAAGGCACTTGCTTCAAAGTGGTTGGAGTGTTTTTGTTAGCTCCAAGAGGCTTGTTGCAGGGGATGCATTTATATTTTTAAGGTTTGCCTTCTTCCTCAATGTGCTATGGAGATTGTTGTTTTAGCATTGAATTCCTTGTTTGAGCTTGAGAATTGACATGTGGAAATGACTTGTAATTCTAGAGGTGAAAATGGAGAATTACGTGTTGGTGTACGACGTGCAATGAGGCAGCAGGGCAATGTTCCTTCGTCAGTAATATCAAGTCATAGCATGCATCTTGGTGTGCTTGCGACAGCATGGCATGCCTACACAACAAGAACCATATTCACTGTGTATTACAAGCCTAGGTATGTAGATCATGACTAATCGACATGCTGTGTCATTTTCCCTTACATTACATGTTAAAGTTCTCCAACTAGATCACTGTGTCATGAATTTTCAACTGTAACATTGCCGTCTGATAGAGTAATTCATTGCAGTTCTTGTACTTACGAATGTAAATTTTCTGTTATAGGACAAGCCCAGCTGAGTTTATTGTTCCATTTGATCGGTACATGGAGTCAGTAAAGAATAATTACTCGATAGGGATGAGGTTCAAAATGAGATTTGAAGGTGAAGAAGCTCCCGAGCAGAGGTATTGCTTGTGCCTTCCTTTCTCTACAATGATAATATCCTTTTATCATATGGCTACATCAAAAAAGTAATTATGAAAACAAATTTTCAACTTGATATGGGAGCAAGCTGAGATTATGTTTTTCATTTTTTTTTTTTCGTTGCAGGTTTACTGGAACAATTGTTGGAATTGAAGATGCTGATCCCAAAAGGTGGCAGGATTCCAAATGGAGATGTCTCAAGGTAGATTTTAATTTGACCACTGTTTGAAAGTTCTTTGAAATACTAAGACAAATGGTAGAATGCATAAAAGTTATGTTTATCATGGAACAATGTTCTAATATCCCATATAGGTGCGATGGGATGAGACTTCTACCATACCTCGTCCTGAGAGAGTTTCTCCTTGGAAAATTGAACCTGCTTTGGCTCCACCTGCCCTGAATCCCCTTCCAATGACCAGGCCGAAAAGGACTCGATCAAATGCAGTGCCTTCATCCCCTGATTCCACTCTGCTTACTAAGGAAGGTAAGTCTTGTCTCATGTAATGAGTTTTTAGCATATTTTCATGTAACAGCTGATCTGGAGAGATCTAATTGAATTATTATCATTTTGTAGGTTCATCCAAAGTTACTGTAGACCCTTCAACAGCTAGTGGGTTCTCTAGGGTCTTGCAAGGTCAAGAATTTTCGACCTTGAGAGGCAACTTTTCTGAGAGTAATGAGCCTGACACTGCTGAAAAGTCAGTGATATGGGCACCTTCAGTAGATGATGAGAAAATTGATGTGGGTTGTGCTTCAAGAAGATTTGGGTCAGAGAATTGGATATCCTCGGGGAGGCATGGACCAACATGCACAGATCTGCTCTCAGGTTTTGGGTCAAATGCTGATTCCTCCCATGGGTATTGTCCATCCTTGGTTGATCAAACTTCAGTAGCTGGTAATCCAATGGGAAAACAATTACTACATCAAGAAGGGAAGCTTGGCTCTTGGTCCCTAATGCCCTCTGGTTTATCACTCAAGTTTGCTGACACTAATGCAAAGCCTCCTGTGCAAGGTTCTGATGTGCCTTACCAAGCACGAGGAAATGGTAGATTCAGTGGTTTTGGTGACTATCCTATACTTCAAAGTAATGGCATTCAGCACTCACATGGAAGCTGGCTGATGCCTCCCCCAACCTCGTCTCTTTATGAGAATCAAGTCAATTCAAGAGATTTAATGCCCAAAACATCATTGGTACAAGAGCATGAGAATGGAAAATCCAGAGAAGGAAACTGCAAGCTTTTTGGCATTCCTCTTATTAGCAATTCTGTTGCATCACAGCCAGCACTCCCTTATATTAATGCATTGAATAAGCCTGTGGGTCATATTCAAGCTGCATCACACCAAATTCTTGCATTTGAATCTGATCAAAAGTCTAAAAGGTCAAAGGTCTCACAATTGGCAGAGGATCTGTCTTCTTTTAATGAGCAGGACAAAGTATTTCAGCTGGGTCAACCCCATGCAAGAGAGATTCAAAGCAAATCTCCTAGTGCTTCAACTAGGAGTTGTACCAAGGTTCTTTCTCGCCTTGATTGTGTAAAACTTGCTGTTTTGACATCTGTTAAGGAACTTTCTCAATTTATTTTTTATTTTCAGGTTCACAAGCAGGGGATTGCACTTGGTAGGTCTGTGGACCTTACTAAGTTCAGCAACTATGATGAATTGATTTCTGAATTGGATCAGTTATTTGAATTTGGAGGCGAGTTAATGGCCCCTAAAAAGAATTGGCTTGTTGTTTATACTGATAATGAGGGTGATATGATGCTTGTTGGAGATGATCCCTGGCAGTAAGGATTCTTGCATTCATTCTAATTCATTTCACTCGTTTCATTTGTTTGATGGCTTAAATCATTATTGATTCGTGCTTGTGAATTAGGGAATTTTGTGCCATGGTTCGCAAAATTGGTATCTACACTAGGGAGGAGGTCCAGAAGATGAAACCAGGGTCCTTGAGTTCCAAGAGTGAGGACAATCGAGCTTCTGCAGAAGGCCTAGATGCAAAAGAAGTGAAATGTCCAGCAGCATCTATTGCAGAGAATTGTTAGGCTTGGCTGTAATAGTTCTGGGTAATATTCTAGGTGTGTACTCTTCTGATGATTACATAGTATTGGATCTTGTTCTGAATAGTGGTTGGACAAATGATCAAATTGAAATTGGCCATGTTGTACTCACCTTAGATGCTTCCTCCCCTGTTTTCTTTTTTCTTTAGGTTGTTCGAGCATTCCAAAGCTTATCACATTCTAGTAAGTAACATGTTCCTTTCTTTCTTGTTTCAGCCTTTTGGTGGAGGCAACAGGAGTGTGCTATAATGACATTCCGGTTGGTTAGAAGTTCAAATAGTTTGAGTTGAAAGTGATTTCTGAGTCTATTTGCTACAAGTTTGTCTCAGAAATCAGAATCAGACATAGATGGCACGAATGGTATTAATCCAATTTTGGACATGTTGTGGAGGTTGGTGTATGGTGTCCTTTATATAATTCATAATTAAGTATATCCGAATTGAATTTCAAGCGCAGCCTTGCTTTTGCAACCACCCCCCATGTACAGAAGATGTTTTACCCCCCTTTTCAACCTGTGAATGTAAGTTAATACACAAGCTAATGTCTTTTCTAGTAAGAACATTATTTTGTTGGTTTTTATGGAAATTGGGTGCATTTCCGCAAGGATATTGCCTTTACTGATAATAGAAAGTTGAATCACTTTCATATTTGTTTAATCATTCCCTTGTGTGATGTGATTGGTGAATCTGCTGCAATCTGTTGATCTATAAGCTCTAGATCCTTCTGTTTTTGTAAAAATTTTGGAGACTTGTTGGGATATTCTAATCTTTGATAATTCAAGGAAATACCTTTCTGCCATTTGTCCTCTCATGCCTCGAGGGTGGTTGAGCAGATTTTGCAAATCGGGAAAGATAGAGATTGGTCTTATCTGGGCTGAGAAACTGATGGATATGGCGGTTTGGCAGAACTTTACCAGAAAGTGATTGCCATTAGGACTGCATCGGTGGTTTCCAGGAAACTTCACCTGATAAAGTGATCACCAACGCCACTATATTTGATGAGCCAGATCCATTGTATCGAGCAGCCTGGTAAATGCCTGAAGGGTGAGCAATCGATTTTTGACTATTAACAGTAAAATTTCAATTCCTGTCCAATGTTAGCCGGCCGAGTTTGGGGTTGGGTCTTTGAATAAATCAGCATCCAATAAAAAAAAAAATTCAACGTATCTTTCTTCTGGACTTATCCTTTCTGCTCGGAAAATGTCAAAGTTTTGGACTTTTAACGTCTTCCCAACAAGACCAAGTGGGAAAGGTACAGAGCCTCAGGTCTGAGCAAATCACATCAGGGCCCCATGCATTGAAGATAAAAAGCCTAATTTGGAGACATGGTAAATATTTTGAGAGCTTATCCACGTTAAAGGTGCATAGCATGTTTTTGTTGTGACAAGGTTTATATGTTCACTCAAACTCTAACTTTTGACCAAAATGTTCAAATTTGAGACAAAAGTAGAGAGTTTCGCGCAATGTAGAAAGTTGGCTTTGTTGAGGGAGTCTGATAACAATATTACCATAGCTTAAACAAGCCACCATCATATACCAACCGACCACTTCCTGACTTTCAGAACTGAAAGTAACATTGGTCCAAAAATGATGCAACAACATATGTTCATAACTTTCATAATTCATTAAAAAGGTCAACTTTCCTAAGGTCTTTAAAAGGATAATGAAGTATTACCTTCTTTAATCATCTCACTTGTATTGTTTGACAAAAAATCTGATTTCTTAATTTTCTGGGGACTCAGATGCTTATCCATCTAGGATTAAAACAATGTGCATTTTTAAGTATTTTCAGTCCAAATCCCTGAAGGTAAGAGGTTCAATCACAAGGATTAATTGAGTTTGCAAAACCATGGTTTGATATTCACGGGAGGTATTACGAAAGTAAAATTTTGAATGCACCCGACCAATGAGAAAATGTACTCTTAAAATTGTTTAGGGAGAGGATTAGATCAAGACAAGACTTAAGATACCCCTAAACACGTTTTAAAAAAAAAAGTTTAGAGGTTTTCAAGTCTTATTATCTAGTTAAACTATGTAAAATATTAAAACACATTATAATAACACAACACGAACATGATACGAAAATATTATACGAATGTGACACGACTTAAAATTTTAACAATAACTATATATGAGTTTTAACAAAACCAATGTTTCTGTACTAAGATGAATTATGAGACGCAATTTTCATATAAGATATGAATACACAAATTTTTATATTTTATACGATACGAATACATGAAATTACCAGGTCTAAATAGTTTAGGAAAGAATCTGACCACAGTTTTTCCCACCAGTAACGGAGCACCCTGCTGGTTATAGGGGGAACTGAGTTTGTTCAAATTGTATTCCAAATGCAGCAGTCTTGAGATTGAGAGGCTTATCCTCATTAAATGACTAAAAATCTAAACAACAAAGAGAAATTAAGAGCAGAGGTTGATTCAAAAGCTGAAAAAAGACTTCAGGATTACAGATTTTCAATTCTTCCAAAAGTTTTTAGTTGATGGGGTGTTTCTCACCTGTTCAAACTAATTTAAAGCTCTCATGTTGCTCACTCTATAATTTGATTTGGTGGATACAATAGACTTCTACACGCTTGAAACAAAATCAATTGCTGCTTTCTCTTGGATATTCAAGTCTGTTCATAGTTCAGATACACCTGCTGAAGAAACCTATATCATGTTATGGAAGCCAGCCAAATCCAAAAGTACAGCCTTGATTTGCTCTGGATAGATGTCCTGCCCTTCCTTGCATTGCTGAAAACAGGAACACAGCCATGATGCGTAGAAAGTGAAAAAGTGAAATATCAAAAGCTAAAACGATAACATCACAGCTCATGCGGATCAAAATCAGGTGGAAAAGCATGCAAGTTACAAGAAAAAAAAAAGCATAAGAAAAGAGTGAACTAAGAGCTGATAATATTACCATTAAAATTTTATGGAAGATTATAACTGAGGTGAAAAAAGAGAAGCAGGAAAACATTGTATTAGCTCCCCTAGTGTTGACTCAGGATTTAAATGGATCAAAGTGCAATGCACCTTGTACTACGTTTGTCCTATATTATATTTGCACATTCATATAACCGGGTTGAAGCAATACATGGTTCAGGCTTTTCATTTGTTGCTTTAAGGGACGCAGGTGAATTTTACAAGACTCACGGCTGCTTTAAACATCTTGTATGAAAATTTAAATTTTAGAAGCAAAATGAGAACTTTATTATGGTCATAAAATGTACCTCAGCTCGAAAGATATCCATGGCAAAGCCATTGAAACAGCTAATGACTGCTTGCTGGATGTCAAGCCCAAGGTTGTCCAAAGCCCTCATTGTGGAGAGCAAAAGACCTGGCCTGCGGCCACAAAACATGTGGATATTTACAGCTTTTCCTTCTCTCAGCCTTACTTCAACCTATATATATACAGCATATCAAAATCAAATCATTCAAAGTTCTATAATCATAAAAACTAGATCAGTTAATATCACATGTTATATAAAATCTACAATGCGAGTCATCTCTAATGCTGCCTACATACAACCCACATAAAGGACAGTGGAGAGAGAAAATCCATGGACCATGACCTACATTGTCCGTTATGCACCTATCGACTGATGTTGCTGGATAAGCCTGCCAAAACATGCTGACTCTGTGGCAACCCATGTGGGTGAACATTTCTGTCTAATTAATGACTAGTTAAATATTGATCTTGCTAAGGGTCAGAAAGAGAAACTAGATATGATGATGGTCGCAGAAACGCCATTAAGTATGCTGGAAACAAAAATGAATTAATGATATATGCTAAGAGAAAGATGAGAGTAACTTTTCAACATAAATAGATGAGTTTACCCTTGCTGGTTGCCCATTTGGACTTGGTAATGAACTGGGGCAAAGTTCATCCTTGATAATACGACTGGGCAAGGTAACTGGAGTTGGTGTCAAAGGATGGAAGCTGGTTGTAGGTGTCAGTGAAGAGCTAGGAGGGTTTGACTCCAGTTCATTGTGGAGGTCATTGATCCTTTGCAGAAGTTCCTTCAGGTACTCAATTGCATCCCCAAGAATAGAAGCTCTATCCATCTATCAATAGAAGGATAAAGAAATCATACTATTTCTATTAAGCAAAACTGAGAGAATATGAACCCCAAAAGCCTTCCTATGCAAGTAAAATTAACATTTTTGTTGTTCAAGTTGGATTGGATTAGAAGTTACATTGTGAAGTCAATTAAGTAAAACATAAAAGAACAATCACCTACAGAAGAGTCCAGCATCTGTATTTGAAAAAGATTCTCGTATTACTTTATGTTTGAGACTTTTAATTGCACCGAATCAAGGCAAATATACTTCGCATTATAATCATAGTAAAAGTCTTGGTGAATCTAAAGAACAGTATTGGTGAATCTACTACCAAAAAATTCTTTGATTGAAACCTCAATTATCATAGATTCTCTAGCTTCATTTGAAACACATCTGATGTTTATAATCACCTTTAACTAAATTCCTAGCTTTAGTATACTTTTTGTACTTTATAACAATCAATGAACTGCATAAACTTAGTATTATCCAATATCACTGTCTGTGGCCATATATCTTCAACATTAGTATCATGAATTTACACCACCAAATCACCCGAAAAATTTGAATGCACAAGATGATAAAACAAAGGAGAATCAAAGATAAATAGGTGGGAAGAAGTGGAAGAACTAGCAGTGAAAAGGAAAAGGAGGATATGGTCAAAGACTAGAGAAGAAAACTGAATGCAGCAGAGAATGAATCTGAAGTTACGATGAAACTATTTTGCTACTCCAATATAAAAGTAAAAGACATGATAAGAGGATATTGCAATTATGGAGCTTTACTTTTACTTATGGATGACTTAAAAGAAATTACTTCCTGGAATGTCGTCCAAAGATTATGGTGAAATATAAAACACTCTACGAGATTCCATTGTGAGAGAAATCAATGCAACTTTCTCAGAGCATTTTGGGGACATGTAAAAACAAAAGATGCCACTCATTCACATAATACAAAAATATCACCATGGAAGAAAAAAGCCAGAATATATGATGTTTCTGAGGATCTAAAATAAACACAATAATTCATACTTGAATTCACGAGATAAAAACGAAAACGAAAAAGAAAAAGAAACGTGAAGGAAATTCTTACTTTACTGATCTTTGGAACAACAGACCGCAACATGTAAAGCCTGTCATTGAGTTTCTTTCGACGGCGCCGCTCAGCCATCAAATTCTTAGCAGGAAGCCCTTTCTTTTTACCCTTTTGATCTCCTCCAGTAACAGTACTGTTTGCATTTGAGGTATTTCCACCATTTTTAAGAGTTTCCGCCACCTTGTTATTCTCAGTAAGCTCATCTGAATCATAATTCAAGGCAGACCCATCAATGCTCACATCTTCTAGATCATCTCTATTGTTAATTTTCCTCTTCTCAATCTCTTCACCCATTTCTTTCTTCCTTTTATCTCCCTCAATTCCACTCGAAGCATTAACCTTTCCTTCACCTAACACCCCGAAATTCCCTCCATTATCAGCTAAATTCTTCCTCAAAGCTGCCCTTTTCTGGAACAGAGTAGGTTGAGCTCCTACTGAGGGAAAACTTTCTAGTGGCCTTAACAACTTAGACCTATTTAAAAACAGAGCATTTCCAGGATTGTCATCAAACTCTTGAAAACCCGCAAACCTGACACCGTTTTCCGGTAGATGAACTATCCGAGAACTCGAAAACTGAGTCTCGGGACACAAATTAGAAGTGTCTATCTGACTACCGTGGCTTAAATCAGTGAAACTACCCAAAACCCCAGCATTTCCCGTGCTCAACAAAGTAGTAGAATTTGTTGCTTGGTTGTCAAGGAACCCAATTTCACTCAGATCAAACCCATGGACTAAAGGGTTATTAGAAACAACATTAAGGAGTGAAGATAAGTTTGGTTTTGGTTGCAAAAGATACTGTATCTGAGATGGGTCAAGATTGTTGAAAACAGAAGAAGATGGTGAACAGGAAGAGGAAGAATCCACTGGATGATGATGCAGCAAAAGATTATCCTGATGGTCACCAAGATTTGGAGAAAATGAAATGTCTCTGATATCTTGAGGGCTTGAAATACTGTTGTTTGATACGTACCATTCTTCTTCTAATATGGATTTGAACGTAGATAAAGAACCCATCTCTTCTTTGTTCTCCATTATAACACCATTGTTGTTTTTGTTGTTAGTTCTGTTCCATGAAGCAGGGTCTTCATCTTCTTTATCTTCCATCCAAACGACACCGGCGTTCACTCTTGAAAGCATGGTTTTCTGACTGAAAAACTTGGTTTTTTTTTTTTTTCTCGGGAAAGTGAGAGAATCAAAAACTTATTATTATTTTTTTTTTAGCGGCTATGGGCTTAAAACAGTGAGTAAAAAAAGGCCGCTTTCAAGGAGAGAGACAGAGAGAGTGTGAAGAAGACGCTGCAGAGGGAAAAGGGCCAAAGCTTTTTGATTGAATCAGCAAAGAGAGAACAAAAAATATTTTTTTTGTGGATTTGAGAGAGCAAAGCAAAGGCAGTATCTGATTCTTTCTTTTTTTTTTTTTTTTTTCTTTGGGGTAATAATACCTTCTGATTTTAAATTATTATTATTATTTTAATGTAATATTTAAATTTTAAAAAATTAATTAGATAATTAAAATTTATTTTTATGTATCAAATTATATAAATCTTTTAATATTATTAGATATCTTTAATGTGCATTTTAAATGTTAACATAAATAATATGTGATTGTTACGTGATAATAATATAATTATAATACATTATTTTTAAAAAATATATATTTTTAATTTATTTTATTTTTTTAAAATGTTACGTAACAAACTAACAATCACATAAATCATAAGGAAGTCACATATCATTTTATGTTAATATTTAAATATAAAGTCAATATTATCTAACTATATTAAAGGTTATGATAGCTTCAAACAGGAAAATAAAATTTAAATGTCCTATTAACAAAATTTTTAATTTAAATATCATATTAAAAAAATAATAGTTCAAGTCAAATGAGATATTATTTCTTTTTCTTTTATAGAAAATAAAAATATAAATCTCCAACTAGTAAAATAAAACCAAATTTTGTTGCCCCATTTTGTTTTTTTAAAAAAAAGAATAAACAAATTTTCTCATTCTTTTTGTTCTTTGATAATAATAATATTTATAAGTTTGTATTTTCATCATTTACAAAATAACAAATTTTATTCAGAATAATTTTTTTTTTAAGAAAAGAAACCTTAAAGTATATTTCGTATTAACGAGAAAAATAATTTTACGAGATTAAAATTTAATTTAATTAATTTATATAATTATTTTTAAAATATAATATTTAGCATGTATTGTGTCTATATCTCAATATTTATAATATTTTTTGGATTTTCAAGTTACGATATTTTTTTTTACTTAAAAAAACAATCTACTTTTTTTGGTTTTGATGATGAAGAAATGCCCTTAACAAACATGGAAACAAATACATCAAAAGCATATGGGGTATTATTTTTTTTACAAGATCGAAGTTTATTGAGATATATAAAAGAAGAGAGAATAATAAATGTTGGAGATTTTTGTAAGTTAACTTACAGAAGTATCATTATTGAAATTTACTCCTACAAACACATTAACAAATATGAATGAATTATTTTATTTGAATCACTTATTTATATTGGTGTTTGTTTTTTTTTTTTTTTTATAAAAAATAATTCAGAGATAGATAGATTGTTCAATTTTTTGAGTCAAGATAAAATATATCATATTTGATAGTCTAAAACAAATGATTACAGATCGTGTATTAAAGATAATTTCAACTAAGGGTGTAATCGAGCTGAGTCGAGCCGATACAGTGAGAAGCTCAAGCTCGAGCTCGACCTCAACTCACAACTTTGGGCTCGATACTCGGTTCGAACTTGATTAAGTTTTATTTTTTAAGCTCGAGTTCGATTCGTGATCGAATTCGAGCTACTCGAGCTCGCTCAATTAAGCTCGATTAATATATAAAAATAAGCTCGATTCGTATACTCGACAAGAGTTCGATTATTTATGCTTGAACTCGAAATATTTTATTAATTAAAATAATAAAAATATATTTAAATATAAAAGTTCGATTAAGCTCGTGAGCTACTCGAGCCGGATATAAGAATATTCGAATTCGACTCGATCGATAAATCGAGCTATTCGAGCTCGACTCGATAATAATCGAATCGAATTCGAGTTTTCTTCGAATCGAACCTGAATAACTTGCGAGTACTAATGTATCATTTACACCCTTAATCTCAACAGATAATTACCATCAAAACTCGAATTTTATATTTTTTTATCGAAAAAAATGAATCTTAACCAATTAAACTAACTAGATATATTAACGCTAGTTTTGAATCTAACTCAATGTGAAAATTTAGTTTCAATTTTCAAAGCAATATCACAAGATTACAAATAAGATGGTGATATTTCATCTTTCCTACTTTTTTTTTTTTATCTCATGTAAAAAAGAACAGACCCTAGTACCGGCAATGACAATGGGTAGGAGTATTTATGTCGTGGTCCCAAGTGTTTCCCTGTCTTGTTTTGCTGTTTTTTTTTTTCTGCATTTGGCCAAAATTTGATGCCTGGCGACCAAAAAAAGAAAAAAACTACCATTACATTTGAAATCAGAGATCAGCTATAATTGCACAAAAAATTTACCTTATAAGAGGTGAAAGAAACATTGAATCAACACCATTATTCATCGGTTTAAATGGGGTTTTATTTGGCAACAAAATTTATTACTGCTAGCTAGTAGCCCTGCCAACAATGGCAATTTTTTTTTTCGACAAAAGTATAAGAGCCAAAAGATTATTTTATTTCGAAAAAAAAAAAAAACAAACAGTCAACTCGAAATGGAAGACATTGGTTTGGGGCTTAATCAAATTTAGAATACAGAAGTTGTTGGTTTTATACTTGTCATCATAGATGGTAGATTATGGAAGAAAGCAATAATTCCGTATTATGTTTCTCCATTTCTAGAAAGAGAGTATAAGAAAGGTAATTGCTTGAGAAATCATGCATTTTCCATGAATTATGATTTTCACCAATTGCTCATAATTTTGAGGAATAACATAACTTATTTGCTCGAAAAATTTAAACCATTGAAAAAACAATTTCTAGTTATATAATTTGCATTGAAGCTTAGGAGGGAGAGCAGTAGTAGCAGAAGGGATAAAGAAAAGAGTAGGGCCCCAAGTATCTCGTGATAACCTTAGATTTTTGGTCAGCTCACCGCACCTGCTGCCCAATTAAAACCTGAAACCCACTCTGTCTGCCCTTCTCAGTCTCCCCCTTCCTTTTTCCCTTTTTCAGGACCTGCTTCTCAAAGGAGGATCTTATAAATTTAAAATATGAATATAATATAAACGATAAATATACAAATAATATAATTTAAAATTTTAATAATAATTATATATAAATTTAATAAAACTAAAAAAATATTTTATTTTTTTATATTTATATGAATTATTATATATAATTTTTATATAAAATACGATACAAATATATAAATTTTAAAATATTATATGATATGAATATATGATATGTATATAGGTATTATTTTTCTTAAATCAAAGGTAAAACATAAATAAGGCTTATAAATCTCTTGTAGCATAATTGAGTCAATACCCAAAACTTGTACCGATTTATTTTCATAAGAATTAAAAAGTTTATGTAAAAAATCTACTCAAAACTAATTGTACAAGTAATGCAATGCAATTAGTGATGGAGGTAGCATTTTTTAAAAAAAAATTAATTTACTTTAAAATTTATCTATTTTATTATTTATTTAGCTGAAAATAGTATTATATGTGCAAATTTTTTTAAATTTATAATTTTTAAATGCTAATTCTAATAATATATCAATGGATTTAAAAATTAATTTACAAGTTATTTTTTTAATTTAAATTATTAAAATTAAGAGTCGAATATTATGTTACTATTGACCCGATAATTTTTTATTTTGAAAGGGAATTAAACTGAAAAAATGAGTCAGCTGGGCCCACTAAATCTATAGGACAATCACAAGGCAAGTGAAAATAGGGGCCATATTAAAGTGCAAGAGGCCCAAGGAATAGGCAAGACTGACGAGGCAGTGACAAAACACTTAAATAAGTTGCAGTCCTTGGCTGGCTGGCTTTGCTTATTGAATTAAATCCTGAAACTGAAAGGGGAGGGAAAGCGTCTTTAATGTTTCTTGACTAACCCCGTGAGCTTTGGGGAGGACATAGGTAACAAATTTGCTCTCCATTTTGGGTTACTTTACCCGTAATGTTTTTATTATAGTCCGCAAGCTGCTTCAAATCTAAATTTTTTATTCGAATTGAATGATAATTTCAATTCTAGCGAGATAGAATTTGACGGTTAATTCTAAAAATCAAGCCTTGAGATGCATTAGAAGTTCGGGCTGTAAGAAACTAATCTAAAACAGTGATGCAAGCAGTGATCAAAATTTTAGAGACTCAATAAAAGTGCTTAAGTTTGGTAAAATTGAACTAAACCTAAGGATAGCCACTAATGAGTAATATGCGAGTGTCACGAGTCGAGATTTAAGTTTTGAATTCGCGTGATTTTAAGATTCGAGCATTCATTCATCCGACGTCTTAGATCAATCTAATCATCACGGTTCACATATTTGTGAGGTATTATCCGTTTTGATCCCTTTGATCTCACGATTTTATCTTATAAAAAATATCTCATAAGACAAAGGTGGAGTGAATCATTTTATACCTCAGTAATCTTCTTATTATGTTTGATGTAAAATTTATAACTCTTTCTTAGATCCGTGACACGAACACTTAATTAAACTCAAATAAAAATATCAATATAATTAAAATATAAGCACACAATCAAACTCAAATGCAGGTATTCCTAAACACGACTTTAAGAGGATCTGATTTGGAGACTTTTAAAAAATTCAGTGCTTAACATAATTTCAATAAGTCAAAGATTATGATACAAGAATATCCCCTAGAATCCGGGATTGTATCCCATAATGTCTTTATGTTAAAGTTTGCGAACAACTTCTGTATTTAATGAAGATATGGAGCTCTTTAACTTGCTTGAAGAGTTGATGTGATGGGTTTTCAGTTTTGTAGTTGCTGGATACACTATGACGTTTGTCTTTGTTTTTTACTGCATATTATCCGAAGAGCAAATCGATTAAGGATTCATTTGGATTTTAATGGTGTTTTGGCCTCTAATTATATCGTGAGTGCATTTGAAAATTTCATTTGCAATATCTTTCAATTAATAATTGAAAATGATATTTAGTAAGAGTGAAAAAAAAAATTTAAAATTATAGTGTTCAATTTGTTTTGAATTTTTTTATTTGATTTAGATAAAATTTTAATATTAAATATATATTATATTTGAATTAAATTTTTGATTGAAAAATAAAAAATTAAAAAAAAGAATCAAATTAAATTATATATTTTTATTAATTTCTATATATGTTTTATATATAATTATTTTATACTTAAATTTATTTAAATATATATAAATAATATATAAAAAACAAAATAATTAAATTTTAAAAATTAATGAATCCAATCTAACCCTTAAAATTTGATTTAAAATGAATCTTATTATAAGAAAATTCTGTTTAGATTCAGATTAAATTTTTTAAATTCATAATTATATATATTATTTGAAAACTGAATTTAATTGTTTTTACCCAAAATTTAAAGATAGTTGATTATTTTATTTATAAATTATTATTTCATAAATCAATACGAATAAGATGTATTAAAAAAGTGTTAATTTTATGAACTGTTTTTATATTATAATAAAATATTTAATATGATATTTAAATTTTAAAAATATTTAATATGATGTTAAATTATAAATTTATTAACTAAAATGATACTTGAATAGTTATTTATTTATCATATGTCATATTTTAAAGTTAATAACATTAGGGTTGGATGATATATTAATTAAAAAATTTCATAATTCACGAAGGATATTAAATTTTTTTTAAAATTTAAATATTACGTTAAACATCTTACAAACGATTTACTTCTATTTTATTATTTTAATATTGTTGGGTCCTAGCCTACAGGGGTTGTGGGCTAGGAACTTGGGTTGAAAAGTTTAAACCGGCCGAACAGGGGGCCTCTAACATGGGCAGGAGATGGACTTATTCTAGGCCACCAACAAACCGGCCCAAAGTTGGAGGATTTTACCATGCTTTTATGTGCGATGGCAAGATTGATTATAATAAAATTAAAAATAATAATAAAATTTATTGTAATTATATTAAAAAATATTATTATAATTGCGATTGAAAAAAGTTTTTAATAAAAAATTTATGATAAATGAATTTCATCAAAATTAATATTTAAATTTAATTAATAATAGGATAAAATCAATATCACGTTACCAAAAAAAAAAATAGAATCCAAACCTAAGCTTAGTCATCACTAGTAAATAGCCCAGCTTTGCAGTAGGTCTAAATATTTTAAAAATAAAATAAATATTTGTTATATTATATTAAAGTTATATTTTTTTAAATAAAAAGGCATAAATTGATTTATCAAATCAATATATGATTCTTTTTGTTGTCTTTAGTTAAAAAATCCACCAATCAGATCTCTTGAAAGTAAAACATACTATTTCTAGTAAATTGTGATTATTTCCTTGTAATATCAATTAATTATTTGAAAGTTTCAACTAATTAAAAAAAGAACTCCATAATTAGTAATTTGAGAAAACAAAGAAGTTTCCATAAATTAATTAAATAATTTAAATATTAAATATTTTATTATAATCCAATTCCATTAATAACGTTAATATTTTTTAATAAGGTTTTAAAACTATGTGGCAAAGTAATAGATAATTTTTGTTAATCTTTGTTACATCCAAGTTAGGGCATCGAAAATCAACCAACCAATCAAAACACACCAAGAAAGGGCAAATCAGACAAGCAATTAAAATATTTAGGGATGGAAACGTCCACGCGACAGGATTTTATACTGAAATAGAAAAAGAGAAAAAGAGAAAGACTTGTTTGGGAAACGAAATACTGAAATATAAACATGTTTCCTCTTTATTTTCTCTTTGGCCGACCATTTTCAGTAGGTAAGAAGGAAAAGAGAAAGGGTCTCGTCTCTCTGCAACTTTTAAAGGCAAAGACCCTTTTGTTTCTTCACAGCTTCTTGCTTTTTTTAAGGTGAGTTATGGGATTTTTTTCCGTTTTTTCTTTGAGCTTTAGTTTGATGCTTTCTTTGAATTTCTTGGCTTGTTCGGAAGGTAGGTTTTGGCATTTTTTTGTCTTTAAATACTTCTTTTTTTTTTTTCCAGAAAATCTGATTTAGGGTTTTGGTTTGGTTGGGTTATGTTTTCATTGATTCTCTTGGTTTAAAGTTCTTGATTTTTGTTGATTTTTTTTTTTTTTTGCTTTATAAAAACTTTTCATCTTTAGGTTTTCTGTTGTGATTGCTAATGGATAAGGTGAGTAGCCCACGTTCTGGAATTTGGATTTTTTTTTTTTGTTTTATGTTAATATTAATGTATTTCAGTTGTTAGATTTAAAAGCATGTCATGTTTTTTATTCTATTCTTGTATCTTAGCTTTCTAGCGTGTAGGCTTAGGTCATGCTTGATGCATAGGATAGGATGATAATCATCCTATACTAGTGAGCGACCCTGGCTCCGCCCAGTTTTTTTATTTTTTATTTTTTATAATTTTGTATATATTGTATAAGTATATTTAAAGAAAATGAAAAGAAAAACAAAAGTAAAAAATTTAAAAGCAAATGTTATTTGAGTAAAATTAATGATATGGAAGCTAGTAGTAACAAATGAATAGATATTCCTGGCCATACTACTAAATGCAACAAAGAAGACAACGCTTGCTTAGGTTCTATAGCTGAAACCTGGTTATTAGGTTCAGTTTCTCTTGTGGGGTTCAAAGACGATCTTAATCAGTGATTCCTTGATCTTAATCAGTGATTCCTTGATTGATAGCAACTCAGGGAACTCTTTCTTCAACTTGGACACATCCAATTCATTATTGCTTCAAGGGGCAACTATCACCTTGGCTTGTTGTTCCAATGTGAAGTTCACCCACTGAAACTTGGAAATGTCAACTCCTGTAAGCATATTCTATGATAAATCTGTCTTGTTTAAGCTCTAAAAAATAGGGGAAAAAATGAAAGAAAAAAACCAATGAAAAGAACCATGAAAACAGAATCATTATTGTTGGGTGAAAAAACTAACCTCACGGGCCTTGAAACCTCTTCCGATGCTTCCATGGCTACCCTTCCAAAGCACTTGTTGCTGCTGCTGCAAAAACATACCATCCTTTCCATTCTGTGCAGCTTCACATGGGCTGTTCCTGGTATTCTCCATGCAAAGTTTCATGATTTTCTCTGCTGCCTCTGCCTTATTTTTGCTTTCTTTCATCAACCTCTCCACTTCTGCCTTTGGTACCCTCATTTTCACCCTCATTGCTCCACTCTCATCAGACCCTTCTTCAGTTTCCTTGGGTATCACACTTTTTGGTTTCATCAGTGTAAGATCAGATACAGATCTCCTTGACAGCATCAGGCTCTCGTGTCTGTCTTCAGCACTCATGTTTATTCCTGATCGAACCCTTCTCGGAACTCTCTCTTTGGGAGCTTCTGGCAACTCTACCAAGAAGTAAAGCCTCTTGGGCTCCAAGTTCTGATGTGGTTGCAAAGGCTTTGCTCGAATACCCAAATGCTTAACAGCCTCTGATTCCAGCAAAACATGACCTGGATAATCTTTCACCACTTCTTCAGCTTTCACCCGTGTCTTCAACTTGAATGTTTCCCCGTTTATCTTCATGACCTTGGTTGCTAGAGTAATCTCTGTCATTGGTGCTGCTATGAGTGTCAGTTAATCCATTTTCAGACGGTAGAGGCTTCTGGATCTCCGGCTTCGATGAAGAATTGTAGTTGCCAAGAAGGTAAAATAAAAGCAAATGTCTCCTCGTGAGCTATGCAAAAAAAAAATAAAAGAAAGCTTTTTTAGAACTAAACCCACAAAACCGAAAAGAAGAGAAAAAATCATAAAAAATTAAACAAAAAACTGGACACGTGGTGGTTTTAGTATCCTTTGGGATTCTTTTTATGTATAGTGTATAGATTTTGTTTGGTTTGTATCTAAAGAAAGTGATAGGATTGCAAAGATGATTAATCATTTTTTTGATATAGTATGATTCAGTCCTCCCAAAGAGGAAAGGATTATTTTTAATCCATGGATTTAGTTTACATGTCCTATTATATCCTTAAAAATTAAATTAATAATTTAAATTGTATAAACTTTAAGGAAGGATAATTTTGACCAATAAATAAATTAACGTATCTTAATCCTCGTACACATCAAACACAAGATAGGATGACATTATTTAATCTAATCCTATTCATAATATTATCTTATTCTATCATATTATAATCTTGTGCACCAACCACATCCTTAATATAATTGTGCAGCTAACTCTTTTGGAAGAAGTTATATGGTATTAGTTCAAGGTAAATCTATTGGGATTATGTTTTTCTTGCAGAAATGCTATAACTATGGTCAGTGAGTGTAATTCATACCTTTTAAAATGAAATTATCTATATAGGAAGCTTGTAAATTGTTTTCACTTTTAGTCAACTTCGAGATTTTATGGAATCTTCTCTCTGGTGTGAGCTTGTTCTTCCGAAGCTCTGATTGTTGGTTAATGATTTGTAACATTTATTTATGCTGAGTGGAGTCTGGTAATTTTGCAAAGAATGCAAGTTTTTTGTTGTCCCTTTTGGGGGTATTCATTTCAGCTGATATGTTTCATTACCAAATGCAGATTACTTAGTAGGAGTGATGGCTAAGGTTCTGGCTCAGTCAACTATTGTTCGTGCTCTAGATACTAGTCGAAGCCTTGGTCCATCCAAAGAATCTGGAAAATCAATAAGGTCTGCCAAAATGATGTGCAGTTTACAAACACCTGGATTGAGGATAAGGAGTTTCTCTGGGTTGCGTGGTTCAAATTCTTTAGATAATACGGTCAGATTTGGCCTAGATTTCCATTCTAAGATTGCAATTTCAATCTCTTCCCGACGAAGAAGAGGTAGCAGATGTGTACCTAAAGCCATGTTTGAGCGCTTCACAGAAAAAGCAATTAAAGTTATTATGCTTGCCCAAGAGGAAGCCAGAAGGCTTGGCCATAATTTTGTTGGTACAGAGCAAATTTTATTGGGCCTTATTGGTGAAGGTACAGGCATTGCTGCAAAAGTTCTTAAATCCATGGGAGTCAATCTTAAAGATGCACGAGTAGAAGTGGAGAAGATAATTGGAAGGGGCAGTGGGTTTGTTGCCGTGGAGATTCCATTTACTCCTCGCGCAAAACGTGTTCTGGAACTCTCATTGGAAGAAGCCCGCCAACTTGGTATCTTCATATGTTGTTTCTCCTTTTCATTTTTAATTATTTTACAACAGCTTTTAAGCTGGAATTTAGCTGGCAGGGAGAATTACCCTACCATTTTTATCAATTTTCATTTGGCTTTCATTTTATTTGTGTTGGTTATTCATATGACAATTCCCTCAATCATTATCACTCATATTATAATTTTTTATTAGCGCAAAATGATGTGAATAAAATTGCCACTGTACTGACTTAATCTATAAGAAAAACATTTCATATGATGAAAGAGGAAAAACAAAGTACCAAAGGATTATTTTTGTGGTGGGAAGCCAATTCCTTCACCTTTAAATGACCATGAAGCTTGGGTGTATGCTCTTGCCTCACCAAATCCTTGAAGGCCAGCCGGGACTTCCATTCTTCATTCTGTTTACATATGCATGCTCCTTGGACTTGGAAAGTTTACTTTAAATAACTGGTAAATTTTATTTTATGAAAATTTCAGGCCATAATTATATCGGATCAGAGCATCTTCTTCTTGGGTTGCTTCGTGAAGGTGAAGGTGTAGCAGCCTATGTTCTTGAGAATTTAGGCGCTGACCCAAGTAATATCCGCACACAGGTAAGAAATGCATTTATCGACTTGATCTTGTTTCAATTTTCTGGTTTATTTTTTTTTCATTATAAAAAACTAATGGGGGTTTAATCATCCATTTGATTGACTAGGTCATTCGTATGGTTGGTGAGGGCAACGAAGTTAGCGTTGTTACTGGAGGATCAACTGGCAACACTAAGATGCCAACACTTGAGGAATATGGAGCCAATTTGACTAAGCTAGCTGAGGAGGTAAGAAATTTGTTTATCTGATTTATCATCTGGGTATTTGTATGTGCTGGTTTCTAAGTAGGTTTTCCCCTCTTTCAGGGTAAATTGGATCCTGTTGTTGGGAGGCAGGCTCAAATAGAACGTGTTGTCCAAATATTGGGTAGACGGACCAAAAATAACCCATGTCTTATTGGAGAACCTGGTGCCGGAAAAACAGCTATTGCAGAAGGCCTTGCTCAACGTATTGCTAGTGGTGATGTTCCTGATACAATTGAGGGAAAGAAGGTGCCATACATTTCTTTTAGCATTAAAAATATTTTATCTTAGCAAAGGGATTGAAAGAATTGGTGATTCAAAAAAAAATTCATGCTTTTGGATTTGTGCAGTAGTTCTGACATGCAAATCTGGTAGTACTTTTGCATTTCTCATTTTAGAATTGCATCAAACTTATTTTAATTTTGCACAAGTTGCTTACTTAAATGCTATGTAATGTATGTATAACATCCATCTCCATTACTGGATTAACATATATGACATGAAATAGTTGATAACTATAGATTTTATTCGTTTAAAGCATAGAGTTTTATTTTTATTACTTTCATCAAATTTGAGATATCCCAAACTCTAAGGGTCTTGCCCAAAGGCAGTCAAAAGAATGACGTAAATGGTTGATAGGTTGAGATCTTGGTGTTGTGCTATTGTCTTAATTTTATCAGGGGTATGAAACAACAAGAGAGTGCTTGTTTCTTTCAATGTCATTATAATTTCCATTTTACCTAGTTCTTCATCCCTTTTCCCGACTTTTCAAAGTTACAGCCATTCTTTTGCATACATGTTTGTTTATTATTTATTCCAGTTAGAAGTACTCATTATGACCATTTTCTTTTTAGGTTATAACACTTGATATGGGTCTTCTTGTTGCTGGAACGAAATATCGTGGAGAGTTTGAGGAGAGATTGAAGAAGCTAATGGAGGAAATCAAGCAAAGTGATGAGATAATATTGTTTATTGATGAGGTGCACACCTTAATTGGAGCAGGAGCTGCAGAAGGTGCCATTGATGCTGCCAATATCTTGAAGCCAGCTCTTGGAAGAGGTGAATTGCAGGTAAATTTTGTTCATACAATGGGGGTTGTACTGTGTGTATTTCTGTTTAGGCAGCAAACAGGGGAAGGAATTGGGAAAGCATCTGTGAGTTTTCCCAGTCTTTTCTAAGTTTGGATAGGCTGGCGCAGCATATCTATATACTAGACAAATTTTTCTTCAGAGTCTCACTAAATATTATAGTCTTTTAGAGGCTAGAGTTGATGATATCTTACTTCTATCTGAATTATTTGGGGCCTACCTATTGCTGCTTATGTTGGGATTTTCTTTTTAGCATGGTGTAAGTGAAGCATATTGTTATATCTGGTATTTGTGATATTGTTGAAGTTATAGTGTTGGGTTAATTCAACCTATTGCATCTGTTATTCTAATTAAATCTGGCCATTTCTTATATGTTTTATTTGAATTGATGCAGTGTATTGGAGCTACAACACTTGACGAATACAGAAAGCATATTGAGAAAGATCCAGCATTAGAAAGACGATTCCAGCCAGTAAAAGTGCCGGAACCGTCTGTAGATGAAACTATACAGATTTTGCAAGGCTTGCGAGAGCGTTATGAGATTCACCACAAGCTTCGATACACAGATGAGGCCTTAATTGCTGCTGCACAGCTTTCATTCCAGTACATCAGGTGTGGTCATCTTATTTTCATCAAGTATCATTTTAATTGGTAATTGAACTGCCCTTTTTGTTCCTCACCTTGATTTCTGTATGCTTCAGTGACCGTTTTCTGCCTGATAAGGCAATTGACCTGATTGATGAAGCTGGTTCTCGTGTTCGCCTTCGTTATGCACAGGTGTGCTTGTATTACAATCTAGTCATGGGTGACTCTTATTTGGTTTTCTTTCTCAAGTTGATTTCATGACATTATTGTTTTTGCAGCTCCCTGAGGAAGCTAGAGAGCTTGAAAAAGAGCTTAGGCAGATCACAAAGTCAAAGAATGAAGCAGTTCGTGGCCAGGACTTTGAGAAGGTACAAAAGTGTTTGCGTTTCATGGGGCCTTTTTTTGTTGATTTCTTTTAGAGGATGGATCCTTCTCTGGGTCCTAACTTGTTGGTGTTAATATTGTTTGATGGTCTCAAAGATTTGTTTTCTTACAAGACTGTTAAATGGTCAACCATCGTTTTTCTTTGGGTTTGATAGCCTTTAGTTTAGCTGGCTTATATCATAATACATTCTTTTAAACAGGCCGGGGAATTACGTGATCAAGAAATTGAGCTCAGGGCTCAGATCACTGCAATCCAAGAGAAAGACAAGGAGATGAATAAGGCAGAGGCAGAGGCAGGGGATGGAGGTCCTGTTGTGACAGAAGTGGACATTCAGCATATAGTTTCTTCTTGGACTGGTATTCCTGTTGAGAAAGTATCAACCGATGAGTCTGATCGACTCCTTAAGATGGAAGAGATTCTTCATAAGCGAGTCATTGGTCAAGATGAAGCTGTTGAAGCCATTAGCCGTGCTATTCGACGTGCCCGTGTTGGTCTCAAGAACCCCAATCGGCCAATTGCTAGCTTCATCTTTTCTGGACCAACTGGTGTAGGAAAGTCAGAACTAGCAAAGTCACTAGCTGGTTACTATTTTGGCTCTGAAGAATCTATGATCCGACTTGATATGAGCGAGTTCATGGAAAGGCACACAGTGTCCAAGCTCATTGGTTCACCCCCAGGGTATGTTGGTTACACTGAGGGTGGTCAGCTAACTGAAGCTGTTAGGAGACGACCATACACTGTTGTACTTTTTGATGAGATCGAGAAGGCCCATCCTGATGTCTTTAACATGATGCTTCAGATACTTGAGGATGGAAGGTTGACTGACAGTAAAGGAAGAACAGTGGATTTCAAGAATACTCTGCTGATAATGACGTCTAATGTTGGAAGCAATGTAATTGAGAAGGGTGGGAAATCATTCGGATTTGATCTTGGTTTTGATGAGAAAGACAGCAGTTACAATAGAATAAAGAGCCTTGTGATGGAAGAACTGAAGCAATATTTCAGGCCGGAGTTCTTGAATAGATTGGATGAGATGATTGTTTTTAGGCAGCTCACCAAGTTGGAGGTAAGGGAGATTGCTGATATAATGCTTAAGGAGGTGTTTGACAGGCTTAAATTCAAAGAAATAGAGCTTCAAGTGACTGAAAGGTTTAAGGAGAGGGTGGTGGAGGAAGGATACAACCCAAGCTACGGAGCAAGGCCTTTGAGAAGAGCCATTATGAGACTTCTCGAGGACAGCATGGCTGAGAAGATGCTTGCTAGGGAAATCAAGGAGGGTGATTCAGTGATTGTGGATGTTGACTCTGATGGAAATGTTACGGTTCTCAATGGTAGCGGTGGTGCTCCCGAATCATTGCCTGATCCAATTCCAGTTTTGTAACCAAATAGCCTTTTCAGATATGTTGTTTGGACCTTTTCTTTTTTATTGAACCGGCTATACTAGTTGTAGTCCGTTTTCTTGAAAGGACTACTTGGCAGTAGAATTGGAAGTCATTGATTGCTTGCCTGTGGACATTGTAGCTGTATTTCTTACACTGAATCACATTCATAATTGGAAGAGGCACAAAGATGATGCAGGGAATGTTAGGTTGGCAGTTTACAACAAAATGAATTGGATGGAAACACTTCAAAAATGTTATTATGGACCTTTTTTCAACCGTGAGGTTGTTCTTTAATGATCCACATCTTAATTCTTGAAGCATTATAAAAACTTACGTTGCTTCACCAATGCCAGGAATTAGCTATGTTTACAGCCTGGTTATGAGCTGTTGATGAAAATGACAATATATGATACAAGAAAGTGCAAGGCAAATGTCTCTGTAAAAACCAACTCTTTCTCGTTCACCAATTTATATGATGATCTTACATTACAGGGTAACAGCTAAGCTGTTCATGAGTGTTGTTGCTAATAACTGCAGAGATATTGGTTCCAAATAACACAATTGAGAAGAGCAGCAACAAATTCAGGAATTGATAATTCCTCAGGATTTCCATTGCACCAAAAAGAAAGTCCTGCTGCTACTCGTCCATAACTGAATGAGACTGTCTCTGTGTGGGGCTGACACTCCCACCACGGTTCATTTTGAGGGCATCCAAAGCTTTTTGTATCTCCATGGTCATTGCACTATCCACACTCCCTGAAGATAGTTTCTTGTGTGCTTTCTGCAAATGAAGCTTGAGTGAGCTGCTGCTTAAACCAGCATTCTTCCCACAAATTGGACAGACTTTCATCCTTGGTTTTCGCTGATGCCACTCCATTGAAACCTTTCCATGCAATTTCCTATCAAGATCCAATAGAATCTTTGCAAACCCATCATTTGGATGGGCTCGACGGTGAACACGCTTGAGGGCATTCCATGCTTCTAATAAAGTTGAGTTCCTGTCCATGATAGCAAAAATATTTGATTGCAAAAAAGGTTAGTCGTGTGACATGGTTCTGGTGAAACCTAAGGTTTACAAATACTAGTTCTTTAGCAGAAATGTAGCCTTCTATGTATAAGTATAAAGCATGGCATATTACTTACTTCCGAAGCATCAGGTATGCGATCACTACTGTGGCACTCCTGCTTTTCCCTTCAAAGCAATGAACTAAGACTCTTCCACCTATTTGTTCGACATGATCAATAAAATCACAAGCTTCTTCAAAGATACTTCTGATGTTTGAATCTTCATTGTCACATATCTGTTTCAACGTGGCACAACGCACATGTTATGACATAAGTTTCCATGCAGCTAGTAGAAAACTAAGACATGGAATCAGAGAGTTCTACAATCAACACTTTCTTAGAAACGAGCCTAAGATTAATGTACAAAAAGAAAATGGCTATCACCATTTCCATTTTTAACTAGGGTTATCCACCACAAATGTTATTTTTCAGAGTTTTTGGTTCAGGTATATTTGGACTTAAGGCCTGGTTAGTTGAGTTTACAATGTTCCGTAGCAGAGAAAATAAGCAAAAACTATAATGGGATTTCAGCCAGATGCATCAAGCAAACCAACTTTCTTCATTTAGAAACAGACTGACAAAAAACTAGAGAGAAACAAAGCAAAAGTACTTACAGAAAAATTTTTGTACTCAAATAGGTCAGGGTATTGAGAGTCTGACTGTCCAATTTCATTGGAACACAAACACAATATATGAGTAATTCCAAAATGCTGCAGTGTGTAAACAGATCTTGCAGCCAGTGCTCCACCAATGAACAGGCTACTAGTAATTAAAGATGGCTTCTCTGTATTAGCAGCCTCAGATATCAATGCTATCCTCTCAAGAATATGCTCAAGCCTAACCTGTATGTTATAATAGCCCCAAAAGGAAAAAAAAAAAGACAATTAGTATCTGCAGAAATGCTACCTCAAACACTGAAGTAATGATATTTATCCACTGCATAGAAAGAAAGCCAAGAAGTTGAATGAAGGTCTTACCTTCAATTCATAAGCATCAACAACACTGTTATTATCACTACCCTCAAAAAATCCTGTATTAAAATTGTTCTCCTGGCAGAGTTTAACAACATCATTTTTAAGCATTTCATTCCATTGTTCCAAATCTCTGCTTGATTCAGCATCTACCTGAGTGCAAAATAGTATGACAACAATGAAGCATTACAAAGCAAAGTTTGACCTAAGACAAAAGTTAATACATTTCACATGGCATTGTCCTGGAGTGGAAACTTCCAAACACAGCAGTACAAAACATATTTATACACCACATCACAGCAAACCAGCTAAGCAAGTGATCAAAACTCTTAAAAAAAAAATTTTACACTTCCTACAAGCAAGATTTCATCATTAAATGCATAAACACTGATAGTCAGCATTAGTCCAATCAAAGCAGAGTTTTTACACTTCTTACAAGCATGATTTCATCATTAAATGCAAAAACACTTTTAGTCAGCATTTCAAAGCAGAGTCTGTGACAGGAATCCAAGATGTTGTTCTATCCTTTTCATATTTTTCAACAAGAGTGGTTGGTATAAAAGACTAAACCCATGCATTTACTCTTGTCAAGATGAGACTTCAGCGTAAAAAAAATAACAATGGCATTTCAATAATTTCCAGAAGTTGTCAACATATCTATTTTCCTTCTGAAACCATGTCTTACAAAATGACATTCCATTTTGTTTACAAGTATAACTAACCTTGGCAAACTTGTGGAAGTCTCGGAGCTTTGCAGTCAAACGGAAGCTCCGAAGTGGCTCTCCACTACCTTTGTAGAACTTTCCATGCCAGCCTTCTCGTGACAAAGGAGAACTAGTGTCCATGCTTTCTCTCGGCCCTGAAGATGATGACTTGGGAGCCGTTCTCTGTAACTCTGAATCACCACAATCTGATTGGTTATCGCTAAGGACCCGTTCCTTGGTTTGAGTAGATGGGAAAGAAACACCTCCAAGGCTAGGAGGATGCAATGGTGACTCAGGAACTGGAAAATCCTCCTTGTCTAAATCCCCTGATGTCTTATTTAAAATAATTAAAAATTGACGTAACAAGCTATCTAGCTTTTGATGAAGTGTCAGCAGGAATAAATGGAATCCCTGCAGATCCCTTAGAGCCGCTCGGAATCCACTACGAAATTCCTGAATAACCGAGGTTGTTTCTGTCCCCTGTATATCAGTTGTTTCAGCACCTTCAGGTGGTGCAGATCCTAATTTCCCACATGTTATATCATGTAACAAGTTGGAGGAGTAATTGGAACTGTTGAGAAGTAACTCAACCAATTTAGGATAAATTACTTGGTCATTTGCACGTTTTCCAACAGGAGGTCGACGTGGTACACCAGAGTCTATAGCCACAATGTGAGAATCAGAATGCAATGATTCACTGAATGTTGCACTTACTAGGCTCATGTCACTAGATTTTGGTGATTCTGTGATATCAGAAAGATCAGAGCTCTGTGATACCAGTCCTTGACTATGAGTGCCAAATCTGCTGTCAACTGAAGATGCCCTTCGTTCCTTTTGAATAGCTCTAATCACCATTGGACGGAATCGTTTGATTGCAGAGTCAAAGGCTTCATCCAAAGAACCAATATTTGCAGAGCTTGTTTTGTCTGCTAACAACAAATTTGCAGGATTACCACGCCATCTTAGTTGATGGCAAGGAAGTCTATCTTCATTTCTGATGACAAGGTCCAACATCAACACCCTACCCAGAACTGCTGCAGTTCTTTCTGCAGTCTCCCTTGAATCAAATGCACTTAAGCTTTCCAACAAAGGGGATCCATGAACATAACTGCAAAAGACATGGTCCTTCATGTTCAAATACTGCCTAAAGAATGTAACTATTTTCTTTAGATGTCAGCTTTCCTCTCTAATTGCTCTCAAAATTTATCTAAACTACTGAGTGCACTAATAACGTGATACCCTTGCAGCATTCAAGAAATATTTGCTCCTTCCATGGAGACAACCCTACAATATATTGCTTGATATAAGAATTTTCATAGCCCCAAATTCTAACTTCTAAGGCTATCAGTTTTGCATCAATCAGTGGAATCGTATGGCCATAAGCACACCTCAGTTTAATGGCTGTTACAGTAACAAATCCAGGTTTTGTTCTTACCTCATCAGAAAAAGGCATCGGCTAAGTTCTAGTGCCTCCAAAAGTTCTGAACATGTGACTTCGCCTACTTCATCCCCATCTGAGGTTGCTGTAACTCTTGCTTTCTGTGCAGCTTCCTTTATCTGGAGCCACTCTGGGCTGGAATTATGAATTACTCTAGCCTGTCAAAAGAACAAGTAATCATCAAAAGGATAGTTAAAAGGAGAAAAAATGAAAATAAAACACAAAATGCCCAACAGAGAGTTTGACATAAGGTTGGAATTATGGCCAAATATGGTAGAATCAAAGGACAGCTGGAGTATAAAGGTACAACCTGAGGAGTCCGGATTCCTAGCCACTTTGCAAACTCATAACCTAGGCGTTCTGATTGTGTGGCCATCCTTGAAGACGAAAACTTTATAACAGCGGCTGCTTCCTTTGGAGAAGTATTGTCAAGCCCGGGCTGGTTGAATAAGGCAAAGAAAACAACTCCTCCAGAATTTACAGTAACCTAAATGCAGACAACTGAAGATAAAATGAGGCAGCAGATGAGAATATAACTAATTAGGAAGTAATTTATCTATAAGTCAAGCAAAGTCTTCACTCTTGCGGCATGAATGCACATCCAGAACTTTGAGCAAACAAAATGTATATGGAAATTATAATACAAACTCTAGCATTTTAAAACTTGCATTGTTTATGAATATTTTCCTCTTATTGGTATCTGAAAACTATCTCATACTATTGAACAAACTAATCCATTTAAAGATATTAAAAAGAACATTATATTTGAACTTCAAAGTTAGATGCATTGCAGTCCCAAATACGAAGAGACCTGATTAGCAAATAAAAGAATAGTAGCAGTAAAGGAAAATCATTGAAAGTTCCTTTGATGTTAGTAATTTTGCCACCAAATAACTCTGGAATGCTGACATAAAGTTGAAGAAAGGTATAATTCGTCCTATAATGGTTAAACTGTATCACACACCTCAAGGGCTTTAGTTTGTTCATCCTCAGAATGTTCAGTGCTACTACTATGCTCAGTACGATGAAGTGAAGAAAGCATGTCCCAGGAAAAAGTGCTTGACTCGATGTCCAACATGGCTGCTTTACCTAGTCTTTCCCACAAACTGGTTTCTGGAGGTTGTTCAGTAGGTAGAAGACTCTGTGAATCAATGGGTGATTCTTCTGCACTGAACAATTATCACAATGAGAAGTAATAAGGAAAAATCTCATCCACAATAATTTGCCAAACCAATTTCCTTCTGGCACAAACTAATACTATTCAATTGTTGGACCATCAATCATTGGTTATAACCGATGAAATAGTCCTCCAATTAAATTCCCACCCCTCCCCCCTTTTGGCTGCAGATAACCTCTGGAGGATAATATATATATATATATAT